ATAAATGATAAAAGATGATTGTCTCCTATTATACAACTAAAATTAAAAAAAAAAAAGTAAAATTATATAAAAAATTTATTTAAAAAATTATTGACATCTTATTACGTTATTTTCTATGGGGGCTTTCCAGTCTATTTCGAAAATTCACCATCATGTATTACTGGGTATTATTAATTAAATAATCTCTTAGTTGAGAAAGTCTATAATTTTCTTAATGTTATGTTCCCTAATCTACCCTACAGCTACACTATTTTTTTGGGTAAAAAACGGCCACATATTTACTAGTGGGCCTAATCTACCCTACAAGTGCATATTATTAAGGGAGCATTAGGGATATTTTAGGTATTTAATTAAAATTTACAACCACCTATTACTAAGGAAGCATTGGAAATTTTTTAGGTATTTATTTAAGATTTAACAACCACATATTACATTCTAACCTCTTTAATGAGTTTTTAAAAAAAATTCATTTGATATTTATTAAAGATTTTATAAGAATTTTAAGAGATTTATTTATTAAAGATGTTAAAAGATCATTAAGTTTTTATTTAAATTCTTAAAAATTTTAACAATTATATATATAAGATAAGAAATTACCTCTTTCCATCTTTTATTTTTCTTTTTAAATCTTTTTTAAAAAGGAAAATGCAGTCAACAGTGCAGCTAGCATTTCCTACCCCCTAATTGATCTCTCTTTTTTTTTTTTTTTTGGATAAGAATTGATCTCCCTCTAATAAATTTTGTTAAAAGTAAAAACTAATAAAATACAAAAAGTTTATTATAATTTAGATTGTTTCAGATTGTAAAATAATATATCTAATAAAATAAATAAATAATAAATTTTTTTAACATGTGCACTAAGGCATAAGTTAAGAATATCTTTTTATTATTAATTGTCATTAAAAAAATAGAATTTAAGTATTTACCATTTATTTAATAAATTGTCTAACTAAAATAATATAAGTAGCATTAATGATAAAATTAATGTAAGTTTTTATTATTTTCTATACTAATTAATATCAAAAAATTGTATTAATTACACTCTTAATCTTTATCCTTAAAGCACAAGTTAGATAAATCCATAAAAAATATATCTTTTTTTTTTTTAAAACTAGAACATGTGAATTCTTGTAGTGTACAAGTAAAAAAACTAAAGAACTAGCTTTTTAAGTCTAATGATTCAGCTCTAAACCTTAGTGTTTAGATTTAATTAATCAATTATTCGACTTCTATCAATTACTTGAAATTTCCCCTTTTCCCATACTTCCCCATGTTCAAAAAAAAAAAAAAGAAAAAAAAAGAAAAAGAAAAAGAAAAAGAAAAGAAACCCTAAAACGGCAAGGCATGTGAGCAAAAATAGACATGCCTGTGCATTGTATATAAATAAATCTCACACCCATTTTATTTTTCTTATGCTCTTTTCATAACATCATTATCATATCTTCCCCTTTCATTCCAATCATCTTGCTTTTGCCCTATAAAAAGACCCAACCGAAGAAAATTTTGAAAACAATCCAAGTAAGTCTCCAAACTTTTTCACTTTTGGAAACTAAACCTTTAGTAGCATTTTGATGACAAATCAACCCCGTAATTTTTAATCTTTTGATTTTAAATTATATAATAAAAAATAATCCTCTTTTATCTTTTATCTTATTTTACCTACATTTTATATGACTTAAACTCAAAATTATTTATTTTCAGTGAAAAAAAATTATCACTTTAAACTATTTAAATTATGGACAAATTTTAAATTTGTTGAAATCTACGCAAACTAGATGTATTATGTTGCATGACACATTTGGTCATTTAATAATTTAGACTTTAATAACCCAGTTAGATGGTCCAATATAAGCCTCTTTTAAGAGGCTCACCGGAGCATTGTAAAGTGCTTCAATTATAATCTCGACAAAGTCTTGTTGCCAACCACGAGGGCATATGCTTATAAAATTTTTTTATGGTTTAATTAGTAAAAGATTTTATTTTTCATATTATTAACTTTAATTCGATTTTTAAAATAGATTGATGATAAGAAAACTTTTTATAAATTTCTTAATATAAGCCAAAATAACTTGTTTTTAATTAAATTAAAAAAATTAATCTCAAAATGCACTTAAAATTAAATTAAAAACACCTTCACTGTTAAAAACTAAAATAAATTTTTTCCACAAATAAGCGATTACCACCCAAGCTTCCAACTCAACTAATCCAATTATCCAATCCATTGAAAAAAAAAAAAATCAAAAAACAATAATCACGTACAAACAAACAAAGAAAACGAGAAAAAAAAATGCCGACAAAAAGCAGAAGAGTAATGATAAGAAAAATAAAAATTTGAGATTAATGATGTTGTATATGTTACATTATTAAATTAATTTATATATAAATTTAAAAAAATAAAAAAATTAATCATTAAATTTTTTTAATATTATAAATGATAAATATTATATTATTATTTTAAATTTTAATACTAAATTTTTTTCCTTACATTTTTTATTTTTATTATTATTATTATTTTACATGTATTTATCATTATTGAAAGCAGAAACCTTTCTATATAATTTTGTTTATAATTAAAAGTTAAGCCGTCGCTGTCACTTGCGAACATGCGGTGTGTGGCATTGCCACTCTATTGTAAGTACCCACCTTCTGCGCATCAACAATGCCGGATTTTTCGTCAAATCTGTCTTTATTTGTATTCAATGCGCATAGACTCAATCGCTGTTCATCTCATTCCATCTTTATTTATTTCTTTGTTAGCTGATCAAACCACCTTTCTCTTATCTTTTACATGGATCCTCAGCTGAGTTCTACCACCTACTCCCATGGCTTTAAGGTATTGTTTATCACATTTTTCTTGTTTTCGCTTTCCATCTTCATGTTCTGGCAGTTCTGCTTCTATTTTAAGTTGGGTTGTGTTTTTTCTTCTTATATAGTTTTAGTTTATCTGACAACTGTGAGGCCTTATCTTCACTTACACATCAAAGTGGTGGAGCATTTTTGAAAATTTTCTATGGTTTGTATCATGAATTTCCCATCTTTTTTTGGATCCCTAAATGATGGTACCAGGCCAAAGCTCAGAGTGAATTGTGTTCAAATCCAATCCAGGAAACTGGATGTCAATAATTGGTTTGATGTTTGCATCTCCAGACCAAATTAGGACTTTTTTTTTCCTTGTACATTAAGTTCTATTCAAGTATGGCATGATACACCATTTGCTGAGTTGATGGTACTCAGTAACTTAAAAACATTCATTTGGGGTCAAGATCAGTAAGATTTACAATGTCAAGCAGCTAACTCTTCATGAATCCAAAAAAGTATGTCATGAAATAATGTTGGAAACGAAATCAATCTAGTTTATGGGGAAGCGATTAATTAGTATGATTTAAGTCTTTGCTTATAGAAAGTTGCGTCTCCTTTTTCTATAATTTTATTAAGGGAAGTTTCTTAAGTAACTTGAGAAAAGATGGATTCTTCTGTTTTTTATTTTTAATAATAAATAAAATGGACTTGCGGTGGGGAGATCTGATTTGCCTTTTTAACCAAATATTTGAGAACTGGGGAATCACAAACTTTAAAGGGTGAATTAAAATATGTTTGCACAGGGCAGACAGCTTGTAATGGTATAGCTGTAACCTTTTAAAGATGATCAATATTAATTTCAAAAGTAGTTCTTCTGGTATGCAGCAGTAGATGTGTGCGTAAGCCTCAAATTTATTCTCAATGTCTGCCTTTTTGGATGAGTTCTGCATATATCAGCGATTTGCAACTCTATCCCACTAACCTTGTACATCCGAGGTGCATATGCTAGTTTGAGCTGTAGTCGTGCAGATTGTACCCCTGAACATCAGAAGCCATTAATATATCTTGTTAGCATCAGGCATTTTTTGTTTTTGCTCAAATAAATTAGCCAGACTTTATGTTTGTCTCTAAAGTAACATTTTCTGTGGATATTGACTTTATGATATTGAGTTAATTCCAAATGAATCATGTTAAGACTCTAGAGAAATGAACATGCAGTACTTTTTCATCAATGCTTGGCTATGTGATCTGTGTATGACTTGATACTGTGCAGGAAACGTGGAAGCATACGATGCTTTTGTCATTACAAAGCATTGGTGTAATTTATGGTCGCTTGAGTACCGCTCCCTTATATGTCTTTGGTTCAATTCCAATAAAAGATCTCAAACCAGATGAGAGTGCATATGAATACTTCTCCTTTATCTTCTGGACTCTGACCATTGTTTCATTGCTGAAGTATGCCTTCTTAGTATTGAGAGCTGATGATGATAGAGAGGGTAATGGGCTATGATATCCATTTTTAATATAAAACAATCAACAGATCAATTTACTTTAACAAGTTTATGCAGGTGGTCCTTTTGCTTTGTACTCATTATTATGCAGGCATGCAAAAGTTGGACTGCTCCCAAATGATACAAGTGCTAATGAAGTTATACAGTATGATGTGGGAATTCCTTTCAAAACCAAGCTGAAATCAAGGGTCAAATGGGGGATTGAGAAACACAAACATAGTCACTACCTTATTCTGTTCTTGGCACTTTTTGGTTCTTGCATGGTTATTGGGGATGCAGTGCTTACCCCTGCTATTTCTGGTCTGGCAACTTGATCGATTTTTTAATTTTTTGGATTGGCTTTAATTTATAAGGGCAATGTCATTGAAGCTTAACATTTTTCTTCCTTATATATCTGTTTTCACCAGTTCTGTCAGCTTCATCAGGTCTTCAAAGACTAATTGAGTCCTTAACATGTAAGGGTGAGCAATAAGATTTCATATGCTAAAAATATGAGAGAGTAATAGTGTAACAGGCATTCATCAATCTCCAGTTAATACTTTGCTTTACATCTTGTGTTTGCAGCTTCCTCAACCAATGAATTTGTATCAAAAGAATTTCCAAGATGTAAGTATCAAGAAACTCATTTCATCTGTTTTCTTGTTTATTGTTTCCTATTAAATTTCATCCATTTTAGTCCAAATTCCATATCAACTCCACTAGAATATAGTTACTTAGAGAGGTTTAACCTTTTTTTCTAATTTCAATGAATAGGCTCTTGTGTTTTAGCATGGGTTAATCACCATAAACAAAAATAAAAAACAAGATGAACTCAAACTAGGCTTGTTAATTCAACTTCTCAAATATGAGCCTGAGTTTGAGCTCAAGTTTTACTGTATTTAATACTAAAATAAGGACAATCTCAGCTTGTTTATTAAACAATGAAGACAACCTGGATAGTGGCTCGGCTCACTTGTCACTCCCACCGCTGCTTCATTCTTGCATGAGATGAAATATTCTTTTATAGGTAGAACAAGTCAGAGATCCCTCTAATAGTTTTTATCTATGAATTGTGTTAAAAAAAATCTTGGCTGTAGAGAACTTGATCACCATGCAGACTATTAACTGATCGACTCTGACCTACATTTAGAATGCACACTCAAGATTTTTAATAATAATAAGAATAAGAAATATAAATGTCTTCATTTTTTTCTTGTTGCTTTCTCTTTTAAACATCCATAATTAAGTCCCCTTTTGTAATAAGCTGATCTAGACCAAAACTAAACCACAAAAATTGTTTCCTCTGTTTTTGGGTTGGTTTCACTACCATAAGTACAATTAAGTGGTATATAGTTTACGTTGAACAATGAAAATGTCAATTTGAGAAAATTTCTCTCTCTCTCTCTCTCTCTCTCTCTCTTTCTGGTTTAGATGGCAGTCAGTTTGAGCAATAGATAATGCTTATTAGGCCAAAAAAGTGAGACCAAAAGGAGACAAAACAATTGTTATTAGCTCTTGACTTAGCAGGTCCTGTGATTTGGTATGCATCCACTTGTTTGATGCCACATAACATGTCATTCAGCTCCTTTTCAGCCTCTCTTTTTTGGTCTAAACAGCATTACTCATTGTGTTCAGCAACGTCAAGTATATTCATTGCTGGAATAATCCTTGATTTGTCATCCAATGTTATAAACTTTCTCAAATAATCAAAAAATGGTATTGCTGTAGAATACCTAATAGACATTAATTTGCAAGTAATATCCAGATGAATTGGAGCTTTAAGTGGTAAAAGGGCATGATAACACATGCATTATGAAGCAGTGGACAAGATGTTGCGAAACCTGATATCATTTGAGCTTATTTTGGTATTCCTTTAACTAAGGTTTAGTATACTATTAATGACCTTTATAAGTGCCTTTGAGACTCATTTTATTGATATAGCCTTCTTTGTTACTGATTTTCCCATTATGTTGGTGTTTTTTTCCAGATATTCCTGTTCCTGTTGCATGTGCTATATTGGTTTGCCTTTTTGCACTTCAGCACTATGGCAGCCACAAAATTGGGTTTATATTTGCTCCTGTTATCATTATTTGGCTCTTCTTGATTAGTGGAGTAGGTGTCTATAATGTTTTCAAGTATGATCGCCAAATTATACGTGCAATCTCTCCAGTATATATGTACAGATTTATGAGGAACAACATTAACATGGATAGATACAGGACATTGGACAGTGTCATTCTTTGTGTGGCAGGTTAGTGTAGACTGGAAGTTCAAATAATTTTTCTTTCAATTAAACATAAGATCATGGTTTCTGGTAGAGTTATTTTTTACTACATCTGTGTGGTACTCTTTGCAGGATCAGAGGCAATGTTTGCAGATCTCGGTCATTTCTCAAGGAAATCAATCAAGGTTCTGGATGTAGTTTTGGGTTTGACTATGTAAATGCAGTGCATAAAGCATTTTAAGAGTAACTGAATTTTTCTGTGATTTCTCTGCTGCAGACAACATTTATCAGCTTGATTTACCCAGTTCTTATTTTATGCTATGCTGGTCAAGCTGCATTCATATCTCATTCTGTATCTCAAAAGAACTTAAATCATTGGAAAGATTTTAATCATCTTAGTGAATCTGTACCTCGTACGTTGTCTACCTGCCTTCTTGCTATATGATTTTTTTGCTTTCTGCATGAATTTCACATCACTAATTATTAGAATGGTGGAAAATGCAGTACACATTCGCCATGTCTTCATAGTTCTATCTCTTCTCGCTTCAGCTGTGGGAAGTCAGGCAACCATAACAGCTTGCTTTTCCATTATAAAACAATGCCTGGCACTTGGTTGTTTTCCCAGAGTAGAAGTCATTCATACATCGAACAAGATAAATGGGCAGGTTTACATTCCTGATATCAACTGGCTGTTAATGGTACTTAGCCTTGGAGTCACCATAGGCTTCCATGACACCGCCCAGATTGGATATGCATTAGGTATTTACTCTCTAAACTTTGCTCTCTTTCTTTTCTGGAAGATTCTTGAGGTTCAAGAAACATTGACATGAAAAAGATATTCAATGTTATTGAAATGGATATGAATATCACAATCCGGATACCTATATTATCCAAAAAAAAAAAGAGTTTGTAGGCTCTAAAAAATACAAAATTTTAATTTTCTTTTTTAACTTATTATTATATTTTACTAAAAGTAGATTACTAGAAAATTGATGTCATTTATTCCTATATTTACCCTGATTATATATTTTTATCATGGCTTTACGTAATAGATGTCTGTTTACAGGCACGGCCATTGTTTTAGGAATGCTGGTCACAACTTGTCTAATGTCACTTGTAATTGCTCTGTATTGGGAAAAGAGCTTGTTTGTGTCTGCAAGCTTTTTAGTGATCTTTGGATCCATTGAGGCCATGTATCTATCATCATGCATCTTGAATTTTCATAAGGGAGCATGGTTTCTTGTTGTCCTTTCAGTATTTTCATGGACAATTATGCTCGCCTGGCATTATGGAACACAGAAAAAGTATGAATTTGATCTACAGAACAAGGTGTCTACTGAATGGCTTACAGATCTTAGCCCAGTGCTTGGAGTTTCCAGGGTCCCTGGAATTGGCTTCATCTACACAGACATTGTAACAGGAATTCCAGCTTTCTTCTCCCATTTTATCACCAATCTCCCTGCATTCCATCAGGTCTTGATCTTTGTCTCCTTCAAATCTTTGCCAGTGCCATTTGTCTCTCCTAACAGGCGATACCTTATCGGCAGAGTTGGGCCTAAAGAAAATAAAATTTTTCGGTGCGTAGTACGTTATGGTTATTGTGATGGTGTCAAGGATACAGATGACTTTGAGGAACAGATTATTCGCTCTATTGGAGAGTTCATATCTCTAGAAGAAAATGATTTAGAGTCCTTGACATCACCTGATGGAAGAATGATTGTTGTTGGAAAGCTAATGTCTGCAGGAAATGCTTCAAGACCTTTGCAGGTAACCTCAAATATGGGGAGCACCAGCTTCACAAACAGTGACACTGAGATCAATGAACAGGGTGATTCTTGTGTCAGGAGAAAAAAGGTACAGTTTTTGCTTCCTGCAAATAGTCCTCAAATGCAGACAACTGTTAGAGACGAGCTGCAAGAACTAATTGATGCAAGGGAGAGTGGCACTGCATATTTGCAGGGTCATTCACATCTAGCAGTGAGAGAAGGGTCGAGCTTCCTAAAGCAGTTCCTAATCATGACCTATGGTTTCTTAGATAAAAATTGCCGAGAGCCACATATGGCATTGAATATCCCTCATGCAGCTCTAGTGGAGGTTAGCATGGTCTATGTTGTATAATATTATTTAACACTGGATGGACCTTAACAATATGTTTGTTTGTTTGGAATCATAATGAAAATGAATTTAAAATTTAGTAAACTTCCCTTCATTCCAAGCTTTTTTTTTTTTTTGTTTTTTAACATTAAGGTGTCAATTTGTACATATCTTAACTGTGATCCTTCTTTGAGCAAATTCAAGGACACACTCTTTATTTTGAGCAAATTCAAGAATATACTCTCTATATAATTTTGGTGGATTTGAGAAAATTACATTTCCTTTGGTATTAATTTTAAGAGTTGAAATTTGAATTTAACTTATGAAAATTGCATTTATTTATCAATAGATCTAACTCTTAGGTCTTTTTATACAATAATGATAGGCACATACAACAGGAATAACCCTCCACCTTATTTCTCAAATCTTTCCACGTCTCAAGAGTTTTAAGGTCTTATCCATTGGTGCGCCAATTCATTCCAAGCATTTTATGTTCTAAATTTGAGTATATAAATAAAGAAAAGATGAAAAATAGGATATTCTATCTATTATAATATTAAAACTGTAAAATTATTTAAATCCCTTTAGTAAATTTTTATTGCATATTGATTCACTAAGGATGTTTAAGTCTTTTCATTATTATTTTAAGCATTTCAATAATTAAGGAGTCTTGATTTTCGTTAATCCCTAAAAATAATATGATGATGTCTACCAAAAATTAAAAATAAAAATAATAATATGATGATAGCCTTGAATTGATGAGCAGTTGGTGAGTGGGCATTTCTTAAAACTAAAGTTAGTATTTTGTTGAATCTATTGTTGGTTTGAATCTTGATGTTGATTTCAAATTAAAATTTTTAAATTAGTGTGTATCATAATAAACATCGATTTAATTAAATTTTTTTTTGTTTTGAACAAGTTGTCAAAGGGACGAGCTTTCATGGGAGAGGGAAAATACATTTCAAGCTGACAGGCTGTCAGTTAGCCAGAAGGGTTAGGTCCGATTTAACTAAATTTTTTAATATCTTATCAATGAGAAAGTGATTTCAGAATTTGGATTTTATATGTTGACAGATTTGAACTTCCGCATATTGTTTTCACCGTATATACAGTACACATTTGGGTGTTATAGTAATAGTTTCATCAGTACCTACAAACCATCTCATTTACAGACATGAAGCAAAGCTCCAGCTAAGGGTGTGCGCTTCCTCACTAAAATACCTGGCTAAAATCAAGTTTGATGGAAGCTAGTTTGATTTCACCTAACAATGGGTGAAATCAAGTTTTGGCAGGTATAAAGGCTTCTTTTTAACTATGGAAAGGTTGAAAAAATACACAAAAATACTCCCATAAATTTCCTGTTTTTTTATTTGGTGCTAGGAGAATGAGCTTTATGCTACCACATGATGTCTAATCTTTTTGAATAGGCTTTACACTAATCCCTTTGATTTCTTGTTGCTATGAGAAACCATGGAGGAACCCCAGCAAGAAACAACAGCATTCTTATGTAAGCATGCATTCTCAGATAAGAGAACTCAGCACAACTAAAAATCCACAACCTGCTGATGCATTTTCTGTAAGTTAACTCGTATCAATTTCCCATCTCCTATAATTCTTTCTCTATAAGATAATTAATGTTTGAACTTTGTTTTGCAGCGACAAAGTGCTGATATCAAGTGAAGCAACGATCAACATAATGCAGGATAGCTCATCCAAAAACAGCAGTTGTGATGATTCTTCTTCATGACAGAAAACATGTAAACTTGGTAGGATCATTGTATTCTATGCCTGTGGATTCCTGGACTTTGTTCATGATAAAAATATTCCTGTTATTTATTATTCATTTATTTTGCTTTCAAACAACTTGACAAGACAATTTGAAGAAATGTTATTACATCAGTAACCCAGCTAGTTACTGCACAATTCTGACATTGAAAGAAAGGAAGCTTCTTTATTTTCAATCATACAAGGAAGAAGACTTACTGGAGTCATATGATTCAGTTAGAAACCATGCTCTCACTCTCTTTTACGAATCCATCTCCTGTCCAATCTTTGTCAGATTGCAAACCTATCTTGATAGCTTTCCTCTGTCGAATTGCTTCTTGTTGCCGTTGCACCAAATCCATGTGAGTTGTAAAATATTGAAGAGAAACCCTGAGAAACCGTTAGAGGAAAAGTCTAAATTCAGCATACAAACAATATTTCCTAGATTCCATTGACAGCTTACATGCTAAGAAAGTTTACTCTCTCAAGAAGTGCATACCCTCTGAAATCTTCTATTGATGAGAAATTGTGCATCTTCATGAAATCCTTTAGCTCTTCACAAAGTTGCTTAACGAGGCCATACCCATGCATCATAACCCCTGTACAGACCTACGAACAGAAAATAGTTAACAATCATATGAGGAAATCCTAAAATAAATGCAGCAGCAAACTATATGATTCAGAGATTGCTGACAGTTCAATGTATGTATCTGTTCTTAATGAAGAGTAAATGCAAATCATTTTAATCCAATGGCAAATGTCATATGATGGAACTTTGAGAGATTGAAGATCATTTCTGTGATATGTCTTGGACTGAAGCAATTCTATGGCAATCTGAATTCTAGCACATCTACCATATTTGTCAGGTAGAAATTTGCAAAAGAACCCACATACTGGATTTTAAGAAATCAAAAACCCAAACAAAATCCCAACTATAGGATTCTATGAAAACTAAGATTTCACTCATGATATTAAAAGGACAGACGATCAATATTTTCAAAGAAGGTAAGTTTGGAGAATTATTTTCTGATCCTACCTGAACAGTATTTGCTCCAAGAAGAATAAATTCAGCTGCATCACTACCAGACTCAACACCTCCGATGCCAGAAAGAGAGTATTCCTTGTCGTTAAACTCTGATTTCATCATCTTTGCAATGCTCATCACCTTTCCAAGGGCAATAGGATGGACAGCCTTGGATGAATAGCCCCCAGGAGTTGAGTACCTGGCAACAGAAATCAAGCACATAAAGTTTTCTTCAAAGATTGTTAAGCCACAAAGAAGTAGTCATGTTGCAGAATTTGATACAAACCCCTCAACACAAGGCTCTGGGCGTAAGGTATTGAGATTAATTCCCATTACACTCATGATTGTATTAATGGCAGCCACCCCCTCACATCCTGATTGCAAAGCCACTCTAGCTGGCTACACACAGTAGGAGGATAGGATCACTTATGAGCAAAAGTTCAACTAAATTGCTGCTTCATATACCATTTTATGGCAAACTAGTAGCATAAAACAGCAAGGAAATGGAGAGAAAATAAAAAGTAAGGAAATTGTTCTGCAACATTTATTTCTGTTTGATTTAAGGAAAGTTCTGAAGAAGAATGCTTAAATCCAAAGTGTACCTAATAATTAAATTGAATTCTTTAAAGTTGAGGTATAAGTTTCTAAGCTAAATTCTCAAGAAACCCGTTTATACAAAAAGCAAAATCAACAGTTTGACCTGTTGACTTTTTTAACTTATGTGAAAAATGCATGAACCAGGCCTTGGATGTCATAAGTAATTGATCAACATCAAAAGGCCTTAGGCCATTAAAATGATGAGGAGAAAAGATTTATTTTCCTAGTTATACTTTTATTGTTCTTCCCTATACTTATATAACCACCATATGAGATCTATGTTAAAAGAAATATTTTCAAAATTTGATCCCTTTGTTATCATGGTTCCCTAACATTTCCCAAAAGCATAAGAATGAAAGTCACCTTCCACTTTTCTGGTGGACAAATATCCAAGTGCAGGAATAAGAATAATATTAGGAAGTTTTAAAGACATTTTATATTTTTCCTATATTAAAAATTTTAAATTCTACTTATGGCTAGGGAGGGAACCTTCCCTCATGTCAACCCACACAAGAGGAGTGAAAACTCATGTCTTAGGTTTGACCCAGGACCTTGTGGTTTAAGGCCTTGTTCTTACCATTGGATCTAGGCCTCATTGCCAGTATCATATCAATGAAAAAAAATTTTCAATAAAATATTAGAAAGAAGAGGAATGCTAGGGACACTTGCCAATTGCACTCTCCAACCGACACTTCCATTTTCATTTGGCCACGTTATCTTGGTTTCAGAGAGGTGATCATTTCATACTTAAAGCAAGCTTACATGGTCAAATAAAAAGGCATGTGTAGGCTGAAGAGTGCAGGAGGTGAGTGCCCCTAGCACTGCTCTAGAATGAAAATTTCAGTGGTTCACTAGAAAAAGGTATTATTGAAGTGGTGTTTATCATTGGATCACCTAAATGAAATGTTAGAGCTATTAGTTACAGAATCATCTCATCAAAGAACAAATCTCAACATGATAGAAATCCAGCAACTATGACAAAATTTGTGACTCCAAATGGAAACTGAAGTGACAGTAACTTGGGTAAGTATTATACCGATCAAAGTAAAGAAACTAGTACCCCATGTCTTACAATAGGTGCAGACATGCTTCTAAAAAACCATGATTATATTATCTTTTTCAAAGGAAGATATTAAAATTTAGAACAAGTTCTGGATAAAAAATAATAATAATAGTAATAAGAATGGAAGGAGGCACACCTGTGCGATGTCAGTGATATTAGGAGTCATCTTTGCCCACACAGGAACAGTTGCTTTTGCATTTATCCATCCACAAACCTCCTCCAACAATGCACAATCTTGCCCAACTGCAGCACCCATTTTACGCTCAGGCATACCATGAGGGCAGGAGAAATTGACTTCAATGGCATCCTAGGAAATATGATCGCAAGTAATTGGTGAGTAATGACTTTAAAAGGAAGATTAAACAAACAGAAAACATTGGGTGATTACTACAACTCACAACTCCAGTTTGCTCAACTCTGTCGACAAGTTCTTCCCAAGCAGCTTTGTTATACTCCTCCATGATAGAAGCAATTAGAATCCTATCTGGATATTCTTCTTTCAGTTGCTTAAATTCTTTCAACATGAGTTCAAGTGGTCTGTCACTTATTAGTTCTATGTTCTCCCACCCAATAATCTGTCCCTTGGCAGAACCATTTGCTCCAGCTCGTAGCCTTGCATATCGAGGAGTTACATTTATAACTTTGGCTGCGTCTAGTGAAACCTAGACATAATTCCAGATAAATTATTGAGTTTTCATATGCACAAGAATTCATCCCATGTACTTATAAAAACATAATTAAATACCTTTTACATCTAATTCATAGTTTATGGATAGATATTGTAAGTTGCACAGAAGGAAAAAAACCAAATATCACCAACAATTTTGAATATACATTTAAATCAATTTCAATTCACATTCTGATTGAAAATGTAGTCATTCCATGCCCTGATCCCCATATAAATTGTCCCATTAGAACAGATGGACGCGGCATCCACACCCACCGTTCAGTCAGGCTGTTCCCATCTCTACATCTACATGCAATTTGTGTTACATGAATAGGAATATCATTTAATCTATATGTTTTTTGATCTGAGTTTCACACAAAAGAAGTCCACAAGGAACAACCTTTAGGCCATACTACTATTTCAACCTTTCAGCGCCATGGATCAAATTGATTATAGAACTCCAACACCAATATTGAGTCAACCCACAAACCCAAATAAATCATTTCTTTTCTAGTATCTATCTCCTTCTCATGATCAACAAAAACATATTCCCATGCATCTAACATTGCAAACAGAAACAACAAAACAAGGGAAAAACATAAGTAGGAAAAGAAAAGGAGAAACTTTACAGTTTTGGCAATCACAGCACCCCAGCCTTCATCGAAGGCTCTCTTCATGACAGTATAGTTGGTACCAGGAGGGCCTGACCCGATGACAAAGGGGTTGGGCATTTTCAACCCATTTACAGTGACACTCAAATCAGGTTCTCCTCTAGACTCAGAAGCAAGAACCCTGAAGCCAACTCGGGCGGTCCGAGCTGTCCCCGGAGGAGGGCGGCGAGACCCAGCAAAGTCAGCAACTGGGGTCCGGCTGTTCCCTCCGATCCAAGTAAAAGAAAGTGAAGCCATTGGATGAAGAATTGGCTGAAGCCTGAAGGTCCAGCAATAGATAAGAAGATGGAGATACAGGTATGAATAAACAAACAGGAAAAGAAAGAGATGATTGAATCTGATGATTCTGAGTTGGTGGACTCTATAGGATTAGAGAAGGCGTGGGATTCTGGGAATCTTCGTGCCGTTTGCTTTTGGCATGTCATTGATTGGAGAAATATTATAGTATGGAAGATCGGAATTCTTGATGCTTTTTCCTGCGATAGGAAAATGTTGAAAAAAAGTGTGAATAAGGGTGTGAATTATATATATATATATTTTTTTTATTTAAAGTTTATTTTTAAATAGGGTAAACGCTCTATTTGGATACAACAAGGGGTTAAATAAAGTGATGAGCGACTTATTTTAACTTACTCGAGTTTGTACATAGTAACTTTTATTGGGAAATTTACTTACTGCTTTTAGGTGCGCGATGTGGTCGGTTCAGATTAGTTGGACAAAGTCCCAGATAGCAGCCGAGAAACCAAAAAAAAAAAAAAAAACGCCCTATTTGGAGTTTATACATTTATTTTATAGTTAATATCATAAATTAATTTTTGTTTTAGTTAATATTTTTTATCATTTAAAATTATAAAAAAAATTAAAAATTAATGGTCAAATTCTTTATTT